GAGTCTAGCTAGAGTCTAGAGTCCAGCGGGTCTATGCAGTCTATGCATGAGAAGACTGGTTGCTCTGTTGTCACACCCCATCAGGCAGTAAAGCATACAATTCACAATACCCAAAACCCAATAAGACCCTAAACTCTGTATCTAGACACAAGCCCCACACCCAACACCTCAACGGCCGTGAGACAACATCAACTCGAGCACGACGCACCCCGAACTTCACAGTCGTGCACCCCAAACTCTAGCTTCATTCAGAAGTAACCCAAACCCTCCGATATCCCTTAATAAATTAGGGAATATTCCTTAAATCTTGGAATCTCTGGGTAGTCTTGGTAGATACCTGAGCCCTGCCCAACAACATCAACTCAAACACGAACGGTCGCAAACTCCTCCCAATGCACTCAAAGCCACCTCATTCAAATCCTATCCCCAACCCTGAGCAGAATTCTTAAATACAAACCGTAGACCCTAAACCCTGAATCCTATAAACCCTAAGCCCTATAACCTTACGACCAAACTCTGCGCACTTGCCCCTGCTCGAAACCCTAGAAACCCTAAACCCTGAACCCTACACCCCTAAACTCGGCCCTAACCCTAAACCCCTGAAGCCATAAACCCCCAATGCCACAACCTGAACCCTAAACACCTAAACCCTAAACCCCTAAACCCCAAAGCCACAACATGAGGCAGGCGCTTGTAATCGCCCATTCCTTTTCGAGCTTCGGGCTGCTTCTGATTCTTAGACTTGGCTAACCAGTGGTTTTGGGTGTTCCCTTGGCTCTTTAGCTCCTCATTTACGAGGGAGTATCGTCATCCCTGGCTCCTTAGCTCCCCCCATATCAATGGTCAGTTGTAAACGGTTTAGGGCTTCAGGGTTGTAGGGTTGTAGGATTTAGGGTTTTAGGGTTGTTGTGTTAGAGGTTTTAGGGTTTTGGGGCTTGGGGTTTTAGGGGCTTAGGGTTGGAGTGTGGGATCTGCGTCGCTGGTGCCACTCTTTGAGAGTTCTAAACACGGTTCTGTAAGAGTTTTAAAACGTGCGTAGGGTGTTTTAACATACATTTGTGAGTCAGTGAACTCTAAGGAATAGTTTTACGAGTTTTCCAGGTCCTCTGATACAAGTCTGTATATTTCCCAATTCTGCATACACACATCATGGGCTAAGGTCCATCAAGTCTAGGGTAAACACGAGGTGCGAGTCGTGCTTCGCGTTTGGAGTGTACCTGAACCGAATCAAGGGGGTCATGTTCGGACCTTCAGTCCAAGTGCTGACAAGCCCGAAGTGCACCCAAACCCTTTGAACCCTGAGCCAACCCTGAACCCTAAACCCTTAACCCCAACACCCAAACACTTGAACCCTTGATGATGGGAGGCCAAATGGGCCAAAAGGTGGGTTTAAGATTCTTGGGGTAGGGATTCCTTAATATGAACCCTATAATATTAGAACCCTAATCTCTACTAAACCCCCATAGGCTAAAACCCCCTTTGGCCTCGTATGAGCTTAGCCTGCTTGTTGGGTGTCATGGGGAACTCAAGGTTAACCTTTGGGTTATACAAGGATTATATAGGGACTATACTACCCAAAGAAGGTTAAAGGATACCTACTCTACTACAACGGTTTTAGCCTCGCAGAGACTCCAATATCCCTTAATTAAGAAATGACCCTTAAATCATGTTAGGGATCCCATTATAAATTTAAGGTATATTCCTTAATTAAGGAATATTGGAGTCTCTGGGCTCCTATGACTTGAGCCCTAAACCCCAAACCCTCAGAAGTCTTCCCCCAAATCACACACAGACAGGCCTGACGCGGACCCCGAGGTTTCCCCAGGCCCAGGCACTTAAAACGAAGGCCTTACGGTTGATGATATAAATCCTGCATTACCTTTAAGGGCTCTAAACTATGGTGTTTATGGTACATTCCTTATTATGGGTAATGCAGGATTTATTTATCAACAAGCGTACTTAGGATATAGGGCCTTTGGGGCTAAGGGGATAGGGCCTTTAGGGTTTGCAACCCCTGGGGTTTAGGCTTATGCATCCGATTGGGGGGGGGTTTGAGTTCGCTGCAAAGAACGGGAGCCCTACCTGAACCCGAACAAAGAATCTACCTTTTTCAGAGGGCTCCCTATCCTAAGCCCTATAAACCCTAAACCCTACCTGAACAATAATAAGGAACATGCCTTTGAATAGGGCCCGCCACTTTGGCTTCTCCTTCTTGAAGACCTTTAAAGGTCGGTGTTATGGGGCTAAGATGAACCCTGAGCCCCACTCCACAGGCCCCCGAAGAGCAACAAGGCTGAATCACGCCCAGTTCAGGGTTTAGGGATCACAGCAGGCCTGCAAGCTTCAGCAGCTGCCGGGAAGCGCAAACAAAGCGTGTTACAGCTTACGAGATAAACTCTACACTTTGCATTGGACCTACGGCTTCGGGTTTGTGGTATACGGGTGTGCCCAAAACTCTGTTAAATGCACTGCCGCTCCTTGACAAGACGAGACATACTTG